AGCTTCAGAGTTAACAGACATACTGAGGCCCCGGCTGTTTGTTTAATATTAAATGTTTTGTCATGCAGAAGAATTGATCTTTAGCATGTTGTGTGCAGTTTGTAGCATGTGGAATAGCACCTCCTGGGGTGGGGCAGGGGCACTGCATTATAGGCCTACTTTGGCTATGACCTGGAAATGTAGCAGAACTTGTTGGTACCTATGGACCTCATCTAGATCTGGATGTGGAAGTCTGCTCAAACAACCAGTTCTTGGACAGAGCAGTGGATGTTCGTCTATGAGCTACAGAGTCACCTGGAGAAAGGTGCACATCTGTAACTGGAGATCGGGGCTCGTGCGATGGCGTAAATTCTTGTGCACAGTCCTCCCACCTTCTTCTATTCCCTGTCTTCAGCTCTTGCACAGGATCACATTAATATTCCTTTGAAGCTTGTTTCAGCTGCAGCCACATCTCCATGTCCCTCTCTTTCACTCTCACTCCCTCTCCCCGTCTTTTTGTTCCACTCTTTCTTCCTCTCTCTCTCTTTTCTTTTCCACCCCATCTTATTGTTTTCTGGAAGGGATTGCTTTGCAGCAGCAAGGGGCAGTTTTATTACCTTCAGTCAGGAGTTCCCCTCGTTGCACAGGTGCGTGCGAACACTCACGTGCGCGCACACATACCGTGGGGCTGGTGGATACCGATGCCTTTGACAGACCGTGTTGATTGGTTCAGAATGGTTGCTGCCTCTTGTAGGAGAGTGGAATGGCTATTTTTAGATCAAGGGGTAGCTGGGAGAGAAAGACTGAGAAGGGCTGTGTGTGTGAGCGTGCACGTTTGTAAGGAATACTGCAGTCTTGAAAGAAGTTTCCTCTTCATACTCGTGCACACACAAACGCATGCATTTATGCAGCAGTGGCCCTCTTGAGCCAGGGTGTATTCCATGTGCCTGCCATCCCTTTTTCCCCCACTTTTTCATGCTCTCCCCCACCCTTCTCCAGCAGTCTTTCTGTCTCCCTTGTTTTTTTCTCCTTCCGAGTTAGCTTGGTGTGCACATGTCAGCACTTTCCTATCTATTTGCCAGCACACCGTCCTGCTCCCTGTGTTTACCTCTGTCTCCATGAAGCTACCCCATCCTCATTGCTTTCCCCCGTCATTACTCTTTCTTTCAGATTTTATAGAAATGTTCCTCCTCTACAACTTCTATCTGTACACTCTTCCCCCTGTTCCTCAGTTTTTCACCCTCTTCATTGTTTACACACAGTTTGACTATATCTTTGCCCATTTCCATTTTTTTATTTTTTACACCATACTTGCTTCGCTCACTCCATCCGTTCGCCCCGCCTCTCGTTCATGGATCAATGGCATTTCATTTGAGTAACACCGTGACATTTTCTGTCGACTATTTATAGCATATCGAGTTGTTGTTGATTTTGGTTTTCGTTGTGTTTTTATTAGCTTATATCCACTGCAACACCACTGTCATCTTCTGATGAGAGCATGTCCACTCATGTTTACCGAAATCAGACGAAATAAAATGACTTTTCATCATCCGTAGATTTCTCTTTGGGCCTCGTTTTTATTTGGTGATTTCTCTCTCCACATGTCTTCATCTTCCTCTGCATCTGACTCAGTCTGACTCAGGTGGATCGCACCTGTTCTGTAGTCAGGGCAGCTGGGGGGTTGTTAGGAGGGTTTAGACAATAAACACATTCAGTTTTTAGCATCACTGAGCTGAAAAAGCAACAAAAGTTTCTGTTACTGTAGGTAATCAATAGAGAAATTTTTGTCTATCTGCTATTAAAACTTTCATTGCTATATTATAGTTCTTATATTAAATGTATGAATTCCCAATACAAACTGCCTTATGTGAAGGACTGAGCCATGCTTCGAGCTCTCCGACTCATATGCTTTGTGAACTGAACCGTAAGCTGGACACGATTTGTGAGAATCGTGAGTTACTTGCGGCTCCTAGAACTCGCCGACATGAAGGAACTGACCTTGGAGAAGGCTAACAAGCACGGACCGGCAGAATGTCCACAAATCTGTCTGTTTGGATTCGCCATTCGTACCAGCAGAACAGAAGGCAGACATTAAATCAGTAGACCGCCTGCCCAAAACAATTGTTATCTGAATCTGGCCTCCCCATTCGGCCTTGGACAGGTCAACTTATCTCAAATTGCTCCTGGTGGGTACGTAAATCAAAAAGCTCTGCTCCTGCTCGCCCCAACTCCACCCCCGAAAATCTGTGGACCCTATCAGAGTTGTACCAGTTGAAAGACACTGTAACATCCTTTATCAGGACTATGGAAACTATCAGGAAGTGTTCATGGACAACCTCACTATCTTGTCGTTCTCCTCCCCTGCAAATATCTTATGTGTATCTATGTTGCTTGTGCTGAGCTAGATTTATTTTTTTTTGCTGCCTTACACTGTGCCCAAGGACACGGTGTGAGAGATCTTTTCTTTTTTGTACCTTCTTTCCTCGTGTTTTCTTCCCCTGTTCTTATCTAAGCGATAAGGGCAGCACTTCATAGAAGCTTCAGCCCCGGTACACTTCCGTCTACCCTTCGGACGGCTGTACAGAAAGACATTTTGCTGTACTTAACTGTGCAATGACAATAAAGACGATTCTGATTCTGAAATGTATAAAGTGGTAAAAACTACGAAGACATTTTTACTTTCACACTTTACAGACACTAAACTTTGGATATTTTTATAACTTATTCCATTAACTTATTTACTGACTATATTTCCAAAGAGGTTTGTTAATTTAGCATTCATAGTTTGATTATAACCTTTTTTTTCTCAAACTGTTTTTGCTATAAGGGTCATTCCACTGTATGGGTGCCTTTTACGTCCCTCTGAAATTATATCTATAATTGCGTATAAAAATTAGCTGCAAAATATATTTTCTTATGAAAGAAAATGTCCTGCATGTGATCCAATTGCAAATTTAAGATACATGATAAAGATGATTATTAAAAACTACCAAGAATACTGAAGAAACAGCTTTTGTCACCTGTCCTCACTCTGTAACCTTACACTTTACAATAAAACATAATAAATAAAATCTTAAAGAACTGTTTTTTTTTTTTTTGATTTTTTGGAGGGACAGCTAATCCCATTTATGGTTTACATATATATTTTTTCAAAATAAATCTATTATATTTTTGTTAAAATACATATTTTAGTTGTGTCCCTTGGTTTTCACACATATTTAAGTTGTGTCCCTTGGTTTTCACTCAGTCCTGTTACCATAACGTATTAGCCTATTTGAAAAATTTGGAACAATCCAGAAGTGACATGGTCAACATGAAGTTTCATCAGTTTGACCGTCTAAAAGTCACGGGAAGACCAAAAATAAATTATTCCATTTATTTTTATGTAAATTTGATCATGTTTCAACTGTGGCTGAAAAGGTCGATCTCAACAAACTCTCCTGTTACCTGCTGTTCAATCCTGTTACCTGTTGTTCAATCCTGTTACCTGTTGTTCAATCCTGTTATATGTTGTTCAGTCATGTTACCTGTTGTTCAATCCTGTTATATGTTGTTCAATCCTGTTACCTGTTGTTCAGTCCTGTTACCTGTTGTTCAGTCCTGTTACCTGTTGTTCAGTCCTGTTACCTGTTGTTCAACCCTGTTCAGTCCTGTTACCTGTTGTTCAACCCTGTTCAGTCCTGTTACCTGTTGTTCAACCCTGTTCAATCCTGTTGTTCAATCCTGTTACCTGTTGTTCAGTCCTGTTACGTCATGGTATTTATTTATTTTTTTTGGGGGGGGGAGTAAACTACTTCCTCCAATTTTGTTTGGTCTGTCTTTTACCTAATTGTTTAATACATTACATGACCATAAATGTAATAATATTTTGCTTTTGGTCTCTGTAAATTCATAAATGTGCCTTTGGAAATAAAATAAAAAAACACTTTCTATTTATATGAAGGGACTTTTTGGTAAAAAAAAAAAAAAAAAAAAAAAAAACTATTTAAGTATATATTAAACCATTCCATCAAAAATAAAGACCTTATTAGGAATAAACAATGAAATTAGTTGGTATGCTTTAAAATATGCTTTTTGGATGTCACATGAGTTTTGGTACTGTAACAGGACTGAAAAAAATGCAATCATCTTCGACTTTAAAGCTTAATAAAAAATGAAATAAAAGCACTTCAGATGGACCAATATCCATTTTGAATAGTTAGATATGTATATTACTAGATCCAGTTTAAAAAAAACATGTAAAAAATATATTCAGTTTTGGAGAGTTACTACAAGCAAATGGCACCCATTCAGTGGAATGACCCATAAGTACTGATATAAATAAGACTAAAAACTAGCGCCCTGTAATTAATTAAAGGAGCAAGTTAAGGGCTCTTTAACAATATTTAAATCGGTTTGTTTGTTTTTCAAAGATAAAAACAACATTTTCAAAACACATTAATTCAGAAGTTGTTTGGATCTTCTTAGAAGTTTTTGTTTTAAAAAAATCAACAAAAAATATTTTTCCCTTATTCCCGTTTTTTCTTTTGATCGATTTAAATCTTAATATAGCAAGTAACAAAAGATGGCATGACTTAATTGATTTTTTTTTTGGGGGGGGGGGGGGTTCTTGCAGGATGTATTTTATGGCCTATCACAATTTTGTTTTTTGTTTTTTGTTGTTTTCTGATCTCTCTTGTTTGGTATTCTACTCATTATTGTTCTGTGTGCAGTACTTAAGCTAACGTAATTGTTTTTATCTGCGCTATATAAATAAAATTTGATTTGATTTGATAAGTTCAGATTCTCCCCATGTGTGGCTAAACCTAACACGGTTTTAAAAAATCCAATGATTATTTTAGAGCAACTGCCTGAGTAATTTAGCATGAATTAGCATGATTATTCTTTTTAAAAATGCAGGTATTTATACAAAAAAATGTTTTGCTTGTTGGACTGTTTGTGCTTTTGTGAAGCTTCTCGTGTAAATTACTGACCATGCGCCAAATTAATTGTCCTCCTTTCTTTCAATTTTGTCTCTTCAGTGAGTGACAGTTGTTTTAGGAACCTTGCAGAGGACCGCAGCGGGGTTAACCTCAAAGATCTCGTCCACGACCCCTCTCTGTGAGTAACATTTTTTTTGTCAATTCAACCAGCAGAGAAGAAAAGCGTGTGAACGTTTCATCCTTCTTAAAGTTCCGCTTTAATCTGTTGCCTCTCTACACATGTGCACCTCTGTCTTCTTTTATTGGAAAAGTGCAACAAAAAGACTAAAAATATCTCTTCAACACAACAACTTTGTGTGCTTGGTCCCGCCCTGTGAAGAGAAACTCCCAGCATGCATGGCAGCAATAACAGGTTTAAAGGACGATTCCTGGTGACTGAAAAGATGTGACAAAAAACATAAAATCAACAGTTGTTTTCATCAACAGGCTAGGAATGATCCCAATCCCTCAACAATCGTTCAGCTTGCTTTTGTTTAAAATCAAGGTGGTGTAAATCTGCTTTACATGGTTTACTCTGTCATTTCAACAGAAGAAAATATTTTTAAATGTTCTCAGTTAATTTGATTTGGTAAATCTCACCAACTGAACAGGGCAGTTGATTTTCACAGTTTTGCTTCTTGCAGTCACTCTGCTGGCAAACATCTGTGTGAGACCTCTGACATATTATCCAGGTAGAATCAACAGATTAATGAAGTAGAGAAGTCAAGTTTTTTCCAACCTACTATAGTTGTTGCTAAGGTGAAGCCATGCTTCTCTGTCAAAGCTCTGGAGTAAAAAAAAAAAAATATATATATATATATATATATATATATATATATATAATATGTGTATGTGTATGTGTGTGTGTGTATGTATGTGTGTGTATGTATGTGTGTATATATATATGTGTGTGTATGTATGTGTGTATATATGTGTGTGTATATATATATATGTATATGTATATATATATATATGTGTATATATATGTATGTGTATATAAATACAAAATGCTATGTCTTGTCATCATTGTATGTTCCCATACAATGATGAAATTAGTTCTCTGCATTTAACCCATCGCACCTGAGCTACACCCAGGTGGAGCAGTGGGCAGCTATGTAAGCATCCGGGGAGCAATTATGCATTAGGTGTCTTACTCAAGGACTCCACGACATGTGGGCATGGCAGCGAGTTGAACTTGTGACTTTCTGGTCCCAAGTCAGCTGCTCTACTTCTTCCCCATCTTGGATCCCTATGAATTTTTTAATGCTGTTATCACCTCTTGACTAAACGGCTGTACTGTTTACTTTTGTTGTTGTTTTGTTTTGGTCTACATTTTAAGATTTGTATTGCTTGATTTGCATGAACTGACCTTTTCTCATTTACATTTTACTCAGTCAGCAGCTATGTAAGCACCCGGGGATATAACATCCAGAACTTTTTTTAACTGGCCCACCGTGCAGTTTTAAACACATACATAAAATAAAAACTTTAAGGTTGAGTAACATATAAAAGCTGGATCAGGTTGAATGTCACCTTTTTTCAGGAGAAACGTGGTCAAACCCGTGTGTTTAGTTTGAGACTAGGCGCTAGCGCTGATGAAACATGCTAAACTGGAGGAGCTGCTTTTCGTGCAACAATCAGCGCTTAGAAGACCACAGAGCGACAAATACAACTTTATGATGAGTGAATTATTAGCAGAGAAGACAATCTCTTGCAGAGGTTTGTGAAGGACTAAATCGTTGCTTTTGTAGAACTGCGTATTGAGTCCAAAAAAAAATTTAAAGCTGAAAATTCTCATTTGTAAGATGTACAGACTGCTCGTGCCTCATTTTTGTTTTTAGATATATTGTATTGGTATTATATTTATTTTTGTTTTGAAAAGCAGCAACTATTCAAAAAAGAATTGAACCCTAAACTGACAAATCTTTGCAAAAATAAATAAGCAAAAACATATAGCTGTTTTTGTCTGTTTAAACTTGTGGGTTTTCAAACTGAGTGTTGCCTTCAGAGGACTTTCTAAAATTTAAGTGTCTCAAAAGAGAGAAAAGGTCCCTGACTCTGGCTAAAAGGCACTAAAGGTATAACTTTACATCCTTTTGTGATGTAAATTTTATTTAAATTGAGATTAGACTTTTTTATTATATTTTATTGACTTGTTTGCATTAACTGTAAAGTATTATATTGATCAATTTGACATCTAATGTATAGCATTAAATTCATTACTCCATCCATACTTCAGTTTTAATAATTTCCTTTTGATTACTGTGCAATTTTCCAAAACTAAGACATTTTTATTGAGTCCAAAGACGATTGGGTGGGTAGATGGGTGGACACAAATGACCAGACAATCCTTCAAGTTAATTTTACAGTCTTGCTTTATGTTGGAGCATTCATGTTGACTGAATTTGATTTTTGTGAGCAGATGTACTTTCTGAGAAGATTACATCTGTTTGGAGCTGAACAAGAAATAATGATTCTGTTTTCTCAGGCTGTGTTTATAAGTCCAATCAGATATGGGATGACAACATGGTTCAAAAATTGTTTTGTTCCTTAAAATCAAAGATAACTTGTATGTTACTAATGGCATGAAAAAAACTTGGTCCGAATGGTGTTTTATCAACTCTAATCCTAAGTGTTTTTGATTATTGTCTGTCATACATACAAAAACAATCAAATTCATTCTAAAAAAGTTAAATCTGGTCCTCTGGACATTAAAAAAAAACAAAAAAAAAACAAATGTAGAAACGTTTCGTCTTTCATCCGAAAGACTTCTTCAGTCTGAGGTGCTGTATTCAGCTCAGTCTTATAAATAGCACCTTCTCAGAGTGGATCAACCAGTTTGCTGCTGACAACCAAAACCAGCTGCTCACATGATCAAGAAGGACCATCAGCCTAACAATGAATCATTAGCACACTGATGGCTGTTTACTATTCACAGGGGGCTGAGTGATACTAGCAATAACAACAGTTGACAGTTGAACATGGAGGCCTCCACCCCTGTTTAATGATGGACGATTTCTTTTCACAAAGATGGCCTCCTTTACTCCTCTCTCAAACCATCGTTCCTCTCTATCCAGGATGTGAACATCTTCATCCCTGAAAGAGTGACCGCTGGCCTGGAGATGAGTGTAGACCGCAGAGTCCTGGCCTGATGATGTTGCTCTTCTGTGCTGGTCCATCCTTTTGGCCAGTTGCTGTTTTGTTTCCCTGATGTAAGACTGATCACCCTCCTGACACTGAACAGCATACACAACATTACTCTGTTTGTGCCGAGGGACTGGATCTTTGGGATGAACCAGTCTTTGCCGTAATGTATTTTGGGGTTTAAAAGCCACTGGGACGTTATGTTTAGAAAATAAACATCTCAGTTTCTCTGATACTCCCTCAACATACGGAATGACCACTGGTCTGGGTCTGGGTTCCTCCTTTTCACCTGATGGCTGACTGGAGTCCTGTTTGGGTTTCTTCTCTGCTTTCAGGAAGGCCCAGTTAGGATATCCACATTGCTCTAGAGCCTGTCTTGTGTGGGATTTCTCCTTCTGCCTGGCTCCTGAGCTAGTGGGGACGCTGTCTGCTCTGTGATACAGAGTCCTGATGACTCCTAACTTGTGCTCCAAAGGGTGATGGGAGTCAAACTGCAAATACTGGTCTGTGTGGGTGGGTTTGCGGTACACCTC